GGGATTGGTGGCACTTGGGGATCCTACTCCTCCCACTAACCCTAAAGTTTCCACTTTTTTTGTTTCTTAATGAAGTAATTTTTTTTAACATCATAGCTCACATCTAATATGAGTTGGTGGGGATCAAATCTCTTCAAAGCACACGTAAATTTTAATTATTTGTTTTAATCATGGCAACCTACTTATTTGAGCAATTTGACATCTGCCAATATGTCATTGGACTGCAAGACTATAATTGTAAGAAATGTATAGTGGAGTAGTAGCTTCTTTTCTCTATGGATTTTGACCCTTACATCTTATGTCTAGTATAATATATTTGATATTTTTAACTATTATTTCATCCAAGTTGATGATTCACATTTCTATACACTCTGTGACAACAACTGCTTTGGTCAAGTAATCAAAAGCCATTTACTTGGGTATGTAAGAAATCGTCATGCAGCACATCATCTGTCGGTTAACTATTCTACTAGTAAGAAAATCATAAAGAAATCATTTTATTTGATTTGATCCGATATTTATTTTCATTAATCAAAATAATTTAGTTTTTTAATCTAGATATCATTTATTAAAAATATTTTTACATTTACTTTTAGTCTTTTTCAGATTGACATTTTTTGTGACATGTAAGATAAAAATACATCACGTAAAAGTTATATCATAAAAAATGCGTCTTCTATCTATTTGACGATAATACAAACATATGTAAATTGAGAATATGAAAAATTATATAAATTCTATCTAAAAATAAATAAACACATAACGTACCTATAAAAACATGTAAATGCATAAACAATACACATTCAAGGAAGATTGGGATGGGAAATAAATTTTAAGGAAATATCCAATGAGAAATGATATGGAGAATGGCCTATATTTAAGGTCCACGACTCCCATGCCATGTGCAATAATGGAGTTGGCGTGCTTAATATCTTTTCTTGCTAACAACGTCATACAACCTGTGTCCTTAAGCATTCCCACCAAGCTGGTACAGGGATGGACCACGAGATAGATGGCATAATCGTATTTTAAAATTTTAAAATTATCATATATTTTAAATTTTTTAAATATTTTTTATTAAAAATCTATTTTTAGCCCATTAAAATAAATTATCACTTCATAAAATTTTAAAAATTTATCTTTCAACATTAAATTATGCGTTCATCCCGGAATTGATGCTTGCTTTTCTATTTCTTTTCTGAAGCTGATAACTGAATGATAATGGAGTCATCTTATGAGAACAACGTACGGTTTGGGTAAAGCATAACTAGAGTTGAACTCGAACCATGGTTAGTTTGTTTGGAAATGACACAAAGAGAGAATGGGTAGTCAATTCTTTTCTATGACATTGGACCCAGCCGCCCACTTCAATCAACAAACTTAACAGTAGTCGTGTTCGGTGCCTAAAACCCCAATTTTCGTGTTTGAATATTATTAGTGAACATTATGAAACCACTGACTAATCCTTAGGAAAAAATGCTGATACACCTGCTTGTCAACTCATTTCATTACATTTGTCCCTTTGCATCCAACATTATCCCATGCAAACCATTCTTATTAATGACGCAAAATAAAATTTTAAATCACTATTTAATTAAAATATTAAATATTTTGTCACGAAAAATAAATTATTCGTGATAAAAATTACTTTTTTTTATCATTTTTGAAATGAATAATTGTGATTTATTTCTATTTGATCACACATTAAATAATAATTATGATGATTTTAAAGTACATCATAAGTAATTCGTCTCTAATAGTATTTTATTGTAATCAAAGTAAATTGTCATTATCAATTAGTCACTGATAAAATGTTTGAATTGACGCTAATTTATTTTTCACAAGAAAAATTGTAATAATGACAACATATTAGGTAGTCACTATTATTATTCATAATTGTAACCAAAATATTTTGTCACTAGTCTTAATTGGTGATTTGTGATGTCAATTGTCCCTATTGAAGTTAATAATTGTATCCTATTTCTATTTGGCCACTAACTTTGACAGTGTCATTTAATTTTAAGTCACGATTAAATTCCAACATTAGTTTAACCTAAATATTATTTTTTACTAAAAATAAATAATTTTTTCTTAGCATAATGGCCTAGCGGGATGAGGTATTAGATCCCTTAACGAATAACTAATTGATAATTGCAACTTAAGTTCTTAAAGAAGATTAATACAACTAAAAATGTAATATCTACCATAATTGATTTTATAATAATTTTTTAATCAATCAATTTTATTATGTAGTTGTAATAAAATATCTGTCACTAATAAGGATACTATTAGTGTCTAATTTTTCGTCGTTATTATTAATATTCATGTGTAAAAAATATAGCCACAAAAATATAAGTAATTGTGAAAAAAATTCATTTAAATTCGTCACTGATATAATAGTGACGAAATTATTAGTATCGACAAGTGATGACTAAAAAATTGTCACTATAAAATTCAGTGATATTAACAAAAATAATTTATAGTTATCGATAAAATTTAGTGTTTTATATATATTTGGTTATTGTTTAAGATATATACATATGTATATAAAAGTATTTGTTAATATCGTGTATTTTTTTAGTTTACACATTTTTAAGACCATTGTATAAATGAAAATAGACTATTGAAATTAACAATAGAAAATGATAATATATCTTAATCTTTTAATTAATATTTAGTTGATAATTATTAGATGTAGCGATAAATCATATTATATTTTTAATGATAAAATTATAAAAATGAATATTTAAAATTTTATTGGATAGAATAATTATAAATTATAAACATAGATTTAAAACAAATATATATATTTTTTAAAAAGGCTAATCTAATTTGGGCTTGAATAGACCATTAGAAATAATGTAGGTAAGGCAAGAGGTCAAGAACAATTGTGGGCGTGGTTACACTAATTTGGGCCTACTTCTTTGACTTTTTCATTAATTCCAAAGCATAAGGCAAAGACTTGAATAGGTCGAAAAATCAAATGCTTTTTTCTTCTTAAAAACAAAATTCATGAACCAATAAAGGAACATTTAGTTCTAAATTTATTTTCTGTTTTCATTTTTAAAAAATAATTTTCATTTTTTGTTTTCCAAAAAATAAAATCTAAAAAACACGTTTGACTAATAAAATAAAACTTATTTTCTGAAATAAAAATAATGAAAATGTGTTTGGTACCTAATTTTTTAAAATTAAAAAATAAATAAATATTAAATAATTAAAATAATATTATATATATATATATATAATAATAATAACAACAACATCATGTGATTAAACAAATGAAAGTTTTGAAATCAATAAAGCCAATTACAAATTTTTTTCTTCATAAAAAACAATAATTAAATGTGATCCAAAAGGAATAACTATTATCACCTCATAATGAATATATCTATTTTGTATTTTAATTACGTTTTAATCCATAATTATGTAACAATTTCTTCTCTAATTTGAACTATTTCAGTAGTTTGTCACATGTTAAATACATAACAACGACATACTTGTGACAATTTTTTGAATGGATCCGAGTGTTATTTGGTCAACATATCTTCTGGAGATATGATTATTGTCTCTTAACTTTCCAACAATACTTGAAACACGTCAATCTGATGTCAGGAACTCAAGATATGTTCATTTTTATGAGGACGATATATGCATAAATTCTTATACGTGATTAATATGAAATTTTGTAAATATTATAAATTATCAATATTTTTATTGATTATTTATAATATAATTTAATATAGAATGATGCATTATCTTTTAGGATTAAATTTATTATTTTATTAACAATTAAGATATAACTAAAACACTATTTTTAGTTTAATATTATTTTATTAAGAATTATGTTAAAATCAAAACATTATCTTTAATTTATTGTTATTTTATTCAATGGTTACTTAGATTCACATAACTCCTCACCTATATATAAAGGAGACTCTATTCACCATTGTAAGAAAGTTTTCTTTGGTTAATAATACAATGAGAATTGGTTTTTTCAAGTGCTTTGTGTCTTCGAAGCGTCATCATCATCAAGTTCTTTCAAGTTCTTCGTGAAGGAGATCTTCACACTTCAGTTTTCTTTCTCATTGTGATTAGTAGGGCTTATTAGAGTCGGTTATTGAGTTTGCCTAGTCAATTGCGACTATAAGAGTTCGTAGGACAACTTTCTATCAGTCACCATCATCATCGTCATTGTCAAATCACCATTATCGCCCATCACCACCAGAACCTTAATTTTAGCTAAGTATTCCTATCTTTATTCATTCATTGTCTTTGTTTATCTTCTTTATCTTTCGTTTATCTTTGTTGTGTTATTCTTCATCAGTTTAATCTTAATCTTTTATTCTTATCTTAATTTTCTAGCATTTCCCCATTGAAAACCCTAGATTGCGATAACATTTTAATCCATCTTCTATCTTGTTCTTTGATTGAGCCTAGACCCCTATGCTTGATTCTTCAACTTCGAGCAACGTTTATAATTTTGCTACCATCTCTATCAAATATAATATTATATAAAGCATGATTCGTTCACACATACAATTTTTTTAATTTCACATCATTTAAATAATATAATTTATGCAAAAATGTAAAAAATGTACGATTTTTTTAAAAACTTGTGTAATACGTGTCTTTGACACGTATTTACACGAACAAGAGACGATCGAATGACAATGACATACGTGTGTAAGTCTTTTTTTCTAATTTCTAATCATTCAATAAGTGAATGTTTAAAAAATTATATTTAAACACTAAAATAATCATATGAATAATATAAGATTTGAAAAATCATTAATCTTTTTATTTTTGAATTATCAAAGACAACTCTTAAATTTAATTAGAGAATTTTATTTTCAAATTTGGTCAACAATATTATTTGAAGATATTTAAATTAAAAAACTTAAAAAAGGGTCTTATTGCCAATTTTGTCCCCACGTTTCCATATCAAGTATTGCTGTTGAAATTACCCGGATACTACATCTCCCATCCCATTGCCTCTTCCCCAATTTTGTAGTCTTTTTACCATTGTTTTCCATTTTGTTTTCTCCTTATCATGGAGAAGCCACCAACCTTTATCAGGCCACCGCCGCCGTTTCCCCAGCCTGAAAACACGACTAACATTACCATCATCAGCTCACCTCCGCCACTACCTGTCTTTTCTTCACCACCCCAAACTGTTACTATAGTGAACTTCTATCAACCTCCTCCTTTCCCCGATTCACCAAGAAGCGTTGATTTATCCCCACTCGAATTCATCCTCGCCCTTTTGACCGTCATAACCATCCCCGCTTTGATCTACTCTTTCTGCTTCGCCGTCAAATGCCCTCCTTGGTCTTCCCGGGATCGTCACGGTGAACCTCGAGAGCTTTCCACCGACAGCCATGGAGTTGGTGGTAATGTTGTTGAAGTAACCGAGACGAGGAGGAAGCCGGTTTTGGGTCTCAAGTATAAAAAAGAGACGCATTCTAAAGAGATCGGGAACGAATGTCCCGTTTGTTTATCGGTGTTCGCCGACGGGGAAGAGATAAAGCAATTGAGTGAATGCAAGCACTCGTTTCATACTACTTGCATTGATTTGTGGCTTAACAATCACGACAATTGCCCGATCTGCCGGGCTCCCGTTGCTGTTAAGCGGCCAGGTAATAACCGTATGCCGTCGTCTGGTCCGGCCAGAGATAGTGATCACCATCAAGGTTTACCGGATGCAGCGACGCTGGTTTAACGCATTTATAGTTTAATTTCTTGATTTTTTTACCCCTTTTCTTAAATTTTGCTTAAACTTCAAGAATCGGTAGTATAATACTACAGAATCCTGATAGCATAGGGAATTCAGCCTTCAAACTTCTCTTATAATTGTGTGGTTCTGCTATCTGAGAAGAACTGAAAGATGGGTCGGAAATGGAAGTATCAGATCCACACTTTTTCTCTGCAATTCCTTGGTTTTTCCATTTAGGGTTGGGCTTGCTTGTGATCATTGTGGGTATTTGCAGCAAATGCTTGTTGTTCACACACTCGGCTGTTATTAACTTTTTTATTCTGACATAAAATTCATTAATTAATTTAGGTTAGGTCTTACAATTATGCATTATGAAATAAATTTATTAATATAATATTTTTTATTTACGAGTGATTTTAATAGTAAAAAGAAATGTTTTTTTAGATTTTAAACTCGAACAAAGACGTTTATAAATTATATGTACGGTGTTAATAGATTAAAAAAAATTCTAAAAACATAATATTTTATAATTATCTCAAACGATTAAACCAACTGATCTGATCCACGTTTTATGGTTTTAGTTAGTGACCTTGATGGCACCACGGTGGTTGATTAAACAAGTCATATTAAAAGGTTAATACATATCAAAGTCATTATTATTACAGCATGTGCTTTAGGAGAATGCATCTTGAATCTTGATGTTTGGTTGGTTGGTAATGCCACTGTGTCAATAATGTTCTGCTTGCTTTGCAACTCTGGTAGGTGGTGGGTGTATATCTTAAATCCCAATACCTTGACAGCTTAACTGGACAAAATGTCTAATTAGTATCTAACTTTGTGTAAGTTGTAAGTTATCAATTCAGTCCTTACGTTTTCATTTGATCAGTTTTAGTCCTTGTATTTTTGGTCAAAAATTCTCTTCGATTTAAGGCTTTGTTTGGTCGGGTAAAACGAAACAGAGAATAAAAATTACGTCTCTTCTAAATAACGTGTGATTTGAAAACCCGAGTACAAATTACCTTTCTTCTCGCTTTAACTTATACCCAGACTAAAACATCTGCTGCCGAAACTGGGTTCCCTTTTTCCCAACCAAAGTTCACGTTTTCCGACCGGGTTACGGTGGGTTATCCAGATTTGCTTATCTGATATCGGCGATGGGCAACGAGACAAGCGGTTGCTGAAGGCGGTCTATCACCCGAGGAATTATAATGTTCTCCAGGCTCCGTCTTGACCTTGAAGCTTCGGATTAGGAGGCGGCTGGAGTTGGCTAAGTATGTGAAAACGGGATGGTGATCGGCAAAGCAGGTTTGTTGGAGGAAGCACGAGATTGGGATTGGTTCGTGAACCTCAGCGCATCAGATTATCCCATCATGTCTCAATATGGTAAGAAACAATGAACAATGTGGCTTGTTCACAATATTTTATGATTGGATTATTTTTGCTGTTAGTTAATATATTATTTATAGTATCATATTCAAGAGTTGCTATTCTTTGAGGTTGTCAGAGTACTATTGGTAATAGGGTATAAACATTTCATGTTAAGTGATTGAGAATTATGTTCCCCAATTAATAAAAAATGGTAAAGTACAAAAATAGTCCCCCAACTTTAGGATATTATTTTATTGAGTTCCTCGACTATTAAATGTTACAAAATAATCCTCCAACTATAGAGTGTTGCTTTGTTGAGTTCCTCGATTATTAAAAGTTACGAAATGATCACCTGACTATTCATTATGTTCCAAACTCACCATTTTCCGTTTAAAAGTTGATCGTATTCTGAGCTGAACATTAATATGTTGACTGTGATATCTTAATTATCATGTTAACATCCAGCTTAGACAATCGCCAAATTTTTATCATAAAAAAGATGAGCTTGAGACATAATAAGACTTAAAAAGTAACATTCTATAATTTGAGGATTATTTTATAACTTTTAATAGTTGTTGAACTTACTATAGTAATACTCTATAATTGGGAGCCATTCGTATACTTTACCTTAAAAATAAAAAAAAATCCAAAAATAAATATTTTTGTTCTAATTCTTTGACACTCTCGTTTGCGGGGTGGATAAGACTCTTGTATACGTTAAATGTTGTATATGCAACAATGGCGAAGAGGGCATCGACCACGTCCTTGGTTATTGTACGAAGGCTCACTCGACTTGGAAACAATTGATACACAAGGACAGATTTTGTGATTTCATGCCGAAGTCGTGGATTGCTTGGCTGCACGACAACCTACGGGGGTCAAGGTAGGCATGTCGAGGAAGAGCAAGGATGGGAGGTTATTTTCCCAATTATATTTTGGAAGCAACGCAGTCTTACTCTTCTTAATACAGACGTCATAGAACAAGATAATATCCTTATTGGAGGGATGAGATTTTTGTTTAGCAAATATGTCTAGCATGATCCAAATAGAAACTAATTGTTCGGCTGTGGGTAGCTAATTCGTTTCCTTTAATTTCCTGTTTCAGGAAAATAATAATAGCAATGTTTTGAAAACCGGACCGGACCGGCCGATTCAACCGAGAATCGCTACTTGGTCCGGTTCATTGTAATCCGGTTAAACCGTTACTACTGAACCGGTTAGAACCACTGAACCGTTCGAATCGGACCGGACCATAAACCGGTTGAACCACCAATTTTTTTTTTAAATTAAACCAAACAACATCGTTTGTTAAACAAGCCGAGTCGAACTCGAGTATTGCTAAGCTCAACTCGAACTTGAAAACTTTAAAAGTAAGCTCAACTCGACTCAAACTCACGAGCTAAAAATTATCAAGTTCAACTCGAACTCGAAATATAATATTGAAACTTGAACTCAAAAAGGCTCGAACTCAAAAAAAATTAGAAGCTCGATTGAAGCCTAAAATTCGAGCTTGATTGAAGTGAAAGAGTAGTTCACTCTATGCTCACCAAAAAGCTCCATGATTTTGAATGCCAAATTACCTCTATTATTTATAGAAGTTAGTTGGGATGCTCTTCTATGTTTCTTAGCCATGTGAGATTGTTTTTGAAAAAAAATTAAACCAAACAATATCATTTTGTTAAGATTTTTTTAGCCCCAAATTTATTTTTTAATTATTGTTATATAATTATATTTATTATTTAATATGTTTTACCTTAAATATTATGTTGTAGTTAATTTGAATAATTTTGTTTCACTTGATTTTATGGTTTTTAACTCATATATGTTATGAATTGCTTTGAATATGACTTGTGATATAAAAAATTATTTTTTATTAAATATTTTTGGTATTTTTATTTAATTTTTTAAATAATTATGACGTCGTCTGATTTTTCTAACCGATCGGACCGATTCAACCGGTTAAACTAATAAACCGATGGCATGATCGGTTCGCTAAGCGGTCCGATTTTGAAAACCATGAATAATAGTAAATATGGTTAATTAAGAATCGGATCAGTGAAGGTATAAAAGCTGTACCCTAGAGGCTTTATTTAGGGCAGTCTATTTGGGGGACCTAAAACGACAACGACTGATGCCGCATCTCCAAGCGCCTCAAAAGGAGAGTGTGGAATGGTAGAGCACTGAAATTTATATATTCCAAACCCATGCAGAGATAAAGCAAACGTGTGGGGCAGGCAACTGGACCGAACCGGGAAAAAGCTAATTAAAAACAAATTTGAAAACTCCATATATTTTCAAAGATACCAAATTCATCCACGAGAGAGAGATATCCACTGCAATAATGATCACAATCATAAGAAAAGTAAAAACAATTATACTCGAACCTAGGCCTGATTTTATTTTCTCAAATAATTACTTTTTATTATAATTAAATTCAAATAGAATATCTATTTTATATTTTATACAAATCCAACTGACTCGCAGATTAAAATTTTTTACCCGGATTCACTCAATTGATCAGATCAGATGAGTCATTCGACCCATAGACAAATGAAACGATAAACAGTATTACATAATAGTAAAATGCTAATATTTTACGCGTAAATAAAATAATATATTGTACGTGAATAAAAATTTTTATATTATTAATAATAAGGTTAAATAAAATAATTTAAATTTGATATATAAAGTTTATGAATTAGATGATGATGTCGTATCATCATTAAATTTTAAAAATTGAATTATATTTAATTTATTTTTAATGATATACTACTACGCACCATCAGTTCAATAAAACAACCCCTAAACAGATCAGCTTTAAACGGTAAATAGAATTAATTTTTTTGAATGCATCAAATACAAATTCGTAGTATAAATATGAATTGGATTTATATTTTATGCTCTTACCATGTATAAATTAGGGATTGACGCAACTACATTTTTTAAACTAATCATTGATATCTGATCTATTGACCGATCATTTTTTTTCTTTTACATTTTCTTAGATTATAAATTTTAAAATCATTGTAAACATTATCGCTATCTAAGCTATCAGTTTTTGTACATAACAATTATCAAAATAAACTGAAATTTTTTAGTCTAAACTATCAATTTTGGTCCATTTTACTATTTAAACTTTCAATTTTTTTAAAATCATACTAAAAGTTTAGTTTTTATTTAAATTTAGTACCCATATTCAAAATTTAGCATTATTTTTTTTAAAAAAATGAAAGTTCAAATACTAAAAATGATCAAAATTGATAGTTTAGGTATTAAACGCGTTATGTTTTTAACGGTGGGTACTAAAATGAAACAAAAAACCAAACATTATGTATGGTTTTGAACAAATTAAAAGTTTAGGTACTAAAACGGATAAAAACTGATAGTTTAGGTACTAAATGTATAATTTACTCTTTTAGTTTAGGTACTAAATGTATAATTTACTCTCTCTTTTAGTCTAGGATATATGATCATAGAATAATATTTATTCGAAACATTCCCCCATTATTTGATAGTAAATATTCAAATATACATACACATGATATGCTCAAACCCTAAACTTTTAAAGATAACAATAATTATCTTCATCAGTGTAACTTAATTTGTGCAACTAAAACTCTTATAAATATACGATAAATACACTGTGTATATGCATATTGGTCCCTCCTTTCAATTGTTTGGCTTCTCTCTCCATTCAACATCTCTCTGTTCTTTCTCTTTTCCCTTTCCCTCTTTATTTGATGTGATTCTCCACTAGCATCTTAACACAGACGCAACAACAAGACGAAAATCAAAGATCAGGAGAGCCATGGTTTTTACCTCCATCCCAGCTTATCTTGATCCTGCCCACTGGCAACAACAAGTATGTTCTTTCTTTGAATTTGTTTACACGCTTTCTTTCCCACAAAAGCAAAGGAACTCTAAAACATAAATAATATTCTTATTACCTTCTGTTTTTCTTTTTTCTTTTGGTTTGAATATACCAGGTATTTGATTTTTTCCCCATGTTTTCCTTGTATTTTTAACAGCTAAGAACAAATCATCAAGCTGTTCCTGGGAGCAGTCCGAGCTCTCATCAGCTTCTTCCTCCTCCTGGACCTCCACAACCACCACCTGCAGCTCCCCCACCGATTGGGGGAGATGGAGCGGGCTCGATCCGGCCTGGTTCGATGACCGATCGAGCTCGTTTGGCGAATATGCAGATGCCGGAAGCCGCGTTGAAATGCCCGAGATGTGAGTCGACGAACACGAAATTCTGCTACTTCAACAACTATAATCTCACACAGCCTCGTTACTTTTGCAAAGCTTGTAAAAGGTACTGGACTAGAGGTGGTGCCTTAAGAAATGTTCCGGTAGGCGGTGGATGCCGTAGGAACAAAAGAAGCAAAGGAAGTGGCTCGAAATCGGCCGTCACCGATGACCGGAAAACAGCTTTTAGTTCATCAAGTGCAATTTCTTCAAAGAGTACAGCAAGCACTGATATTTTAGGCCTTGGACCTCAAGGTCCTCAACTGAGCTTCATGGCTCCTTTGCGGCACCTTACTGGTTTTGGGTTGAATTACGGCACAATTTCAGCTCCCCTTGGAGTGCCAAGCGACTGGAATGCGGATGCAACCGGTTTCGATCAGTGGCGGCTACCACCGCAATTTCCCTTCCTTGGAGACTTGGAATCTTCCGGTCTATATCAATTTGAAACTGCAGGTGATGAGCAGCCATCTGGATACGGTGTCGTAGCTGGAGCACATCAGGTTCGACCTAATATATCAAGCTCGACACCACCAACACAGATGGCTCCGGTGAAAATGGACGGCAATAACCAGCAAGAATTGAATTTTTCAAGGCAAATTCCGGGAAATGATCATCAGTACTGGGGTGGAACTGCATGGACAGATGTTTCCAGTTTCAGCTCTTCATCCACCAGCAATCCCTAGTAGGTTACGAATTAGATCCGGTCATCTAACACTCATTTCAAAGCTTGGGTCTTTTTGTTAGTGGAGCTTCTTTCAAAGAAAAATTAACCATGACCAAGGGGTTATGTTCCTCGCATTAAAAGTCGACTGAAACCCTAGCATTGGTAGGCTTTCTTTCTCTCCAAATACCGAGTGTATCACCAGTTTATATATAGAGCTTGCATTGATGATATGAACTCTGGAAATTATGTGTTTTAAATGCTATAATTTCACAAATTATATTCATATGCCTCGTTTCTTCTTTACAAGGGAACTGCAAATCCATTGCAGGATGGCTTCCATAATCATTTTAATTTGTTGAGGGATTTTTCAACTCTTTCGAGAGAAATTTAAAACAAATACTATGCTCAAAAATCTAATTTAATGATATGGGGGCTGGATCGATTGCTGCATTGCTACATTGTGAGACAGAAGAAACAGTACTGTCTAAATCTACTTTGATAATGACTAATATTTGTGAAAATAGAATGGTTTTGTAATAATCTAACTTAAACGTACTTGTTTGTTTCGGGATTTCAGAGAAAATAATAACCAACATTAATTTTAAAGGATTAATTAATTTTTGTTTTGGAACAAAATTATTATAATCCACGTCAAGTCTCAAAAGACTCCATTTCGAAATCTACATTGACCAAAAATCAACAGAGTATACACAATCACATGTTTTATTTTTTATATTGAAATAATTTAATAAATATATATCTTCCTATAATCTGTATTATACAATTTAAAATATTATCTATATATTATGTAAATCACGAATATTTATTTAACGGTTTAAATATAAATTAATTTTATTAAATTAAATAAAATGAATAAAACTCTCGATAACTATCAAACTTTAATGCATTGTAAAAAAAAACTTAAGGGTAATATATAAATCATTAGTTTTGATCCATTTTAGTACCAAGTCTTTTAATTTTTTTTTCAAAATCATATATAAAGTTTAGTTTTTTATTTCATTTTAGTACCTCTGTTAAAAATTTAAAGTTACGTTTTTTTAAAAAAAATAAAAAAATTTAGGTATTAAAATGAATCAAAACTGATAGTTTAGGTAATAAATACGTAGTTTACCAAAAAAACTTAAATTCAAAATTCTAATTAAATTAAAGGGTAAACTATGTATTTAGTGCCTAAACTATCAATTTAGTATCTAAACTTTCAAAAAAAAAATCAAAAGCATACATAACCTTTAGTTTTTATTTCATTTTAGTACCCGATCGGTAAAAACTTAACGTGTTTAGTACCTAAACTATCAATTTTGATTCATTTTAGTACCTAAAATTTCAAAAAAAAATCAAAATTTAACGTTAAATTTTGAAAACGGAACTAAAATGAAATAAATACTAAAGTTTAGGGACTGGATTTACAAAAGGCTTTTGACTCTCTTAGTTGGGACTTAGCTTTGGATGTTTTGGAAGCTTTGGGGTTGCCTATGCAGTTTAAGGATTGGATTAGGGCATGTACCACTGATTCCAAGTTCTCCATTTCTCTTAATGGAATCTTGGTTATGTATTTTAAAGGTAGGAGGGGTGTTAGGCTGGAGGATCCCTTGTCCCCTATGTAACACCAATCTCCTGTATATCTTTCCGTACACGAGATAAGGATGTAACATCACTTTTTAAAACTTTTTGTTACTTGAAAACCCGTAAAATTTCGTTTCGAAATTTAAATTAAAACGTTTTAGCACAATTATAAAATAGTCATCGAAATATACTACCAAATTTCCACTTTATAAACATTCCAGAGCATTTTTCTTTAAATTTGATTACATGCCAACAATTGTTCAAAAATAAACATGATTGTCCTATCGTTACTGATGAGAGTAATCCTTAACAGATGAAAATTGTTGCTACTGCTACACTCCTTATGCAACTAATCTTTGCCTTTACCTACGCGTGAAATAAATACACGTTAAGTATTTACTTAGTGAGACATAATATTGCAAGGATATTACAATTATACAACAATAACTTATAAATACTGAATGAATAATTTAATTTCATCATTCATAATAACCAGTTAAGCCCTCCTCAGTTAAACAATAATTCTTTCATACCATCATGAAAATTTTTCTTAGTATGTCCATTATACTTATCATTCTGTATATTTTCTCCCTTTATTATATATTTACCTTGCATACATTAAATGTGAAAGTAATATACATGTATTGTACCAAGGTGCTACTTGATCATGTATCTTTTATAATCATTATGGTGGCACCTTAAATACTGTTAATACACCGTTTGGTATTTTCATTTAGGTATCTTTTCATGCCCGTTATGTACTGTTTACGTTTTCCTTTATAACATCCCTTCATACTAGTTATACATTATTGTACATTATATATATCATCCCTTCTTATCACTTATATACCATTCATATCACATTACATTAAAATTCCTTTATTCTTTTACCCAAAGGTATTTATCTTTTCACTTAACTTGCATATTTGACATTTTTCTGTCAAATGCACAGCTAGTCCATTATTCTTTTACTCAACGATATTTAACCGTTCATCTAACTGGCGTAAACATTCATGCCAATTGCACAATTACGCCTCAAAGGCACTTAACCTTTCATCTAACTAGCATAAATAACACCTTTCTGTCAAATGCACAGTTAGGCCTCAAAGGCACTTAGTCTTTCATCTAACTAGCATAAATGACACCTTTCTGTCAAATGCACAGTTAGGCCTCAAAGGCACTTAGTCTTTCATCTAACTAGCAAAAATGACACCTTTCTGTCAAATGTACAGTTAGGCCTCAAAGACACTTAGTCTTTCATCTAACTAGCATAAATGACACCTTTCTGTCAAATGCACAGTTAAGCCTATTAATCTTTTATTTTAGGGCAGTCCCTACTATAATAATCATTCATAATATCAATTAACCCTTTCAATCATTACACATTCTATGATTCAGACTGTGACTGGGTTTAAGATGGGAAAATTACTTGTGAGGTACCTGGGGGTGCCTCTTAACCCCATGGAATTGTATGTTAAGGACTGTGATAGCCTTGTGGAGAAAGTGAAGGCAAAGTTGGGATTGTGGTTGAACATATTCCTTAGTTATGCTGGAAGATTACAACTTATTGGAGTTGTGTTTTTTAATGTGGCAATTTTTTTGTGCAGGCAACTTGTGTTGCCTGTTGTTGTGGTTGCTCTGGTTAAGCAACTTTGTGTTAGGTTCCTTTGGAAGGGCAAGGATGTCCTTGCGAGAAGGGTTAGAATTAGTTGGGACATTGTTTGTGTCCCTAAGTCAAAGGGGACCTAGGAATTAAGAGCTTAAAGTGCTAGAACAAAGTATGTATGCTCACCTTGCTAAGGAAGATTCTTGTTGGAGAGGGGTCTTTTTTGGTGGCTTGGGTTTGAGAGTATGCCCTAAAGGGGGTTGGTGTGTGGTAGGTGACTAGTAAGGCCAACCTTAGTTGGGTGTTGAGGAAAGTTATGAAGGTTTGGAATGAGTTTTAGGGGCTGTTTACGGGGGTGAACTGGTCAATGATGAAAACTAGGTAGTTTTAGAGTGAGATCAGAGCTAGAAAGGAGAAAGTGAAGTGGCATAAGTTGTTGTGGTTGTCTTTGAATGTTCCAAAGCATTCGATTATTAGTTGGATAGCTTTCTTGGATAGATTGCCTACTGCTGACAGAATGTTGAAGATGGGCATTCTTGTGGATGACCTCTGCAGAAACTATGGGTGTATGCTGGAGACTAGGAGTAACACTTTTTTTTAGTGCACCTTTGCGAGGGAAGTGTGGAGGAACATTCTTTGGATGTGTAGTATTAGGCTTGAGGGTGATGTTGATTGGGCTATAAAAGTCTTAAAGGGCAGATCCTTGATTGTTATTATTTTTAAGGTTGCTTTGTGTGCTTACATTTACTACATACAGGAAGAGAGGAATTATAGGAGGTTTAAGGGGATTGTTAGATGTACAGGGGATATTGTTGCTTGTATTAAAGATGTGGTTAGGATTAAAATGTATAGGAAAGTTATTATGTTTATTTTATTCTTTGTAATGTTTGGGGGATTCAGAATGGTGCCCTCTGTTAGGAGATATTGTATCTTTGCTTTTTAGTAGCAGGTTATGCTACTTCTTGGGTAATACAATGGAATTTATCCCAAAAAAGAAAACTAAATTTATGTGTGATTTTGAAAAAAATAAAAGTTTATATATTAGAACGAATCAAAATTAATAGTTTAAATTCTAAACACATAATTTACCCTAAATCAAAATAAGATATTAATTGATCCGAACAAAGGAAGATAATATATTAACATATTAAAAACAGAAAAGAAAAAGGTGGTAAAAGGACTGGCCATCAAAGACACAAGGTTAGAAGATATTCGGAAGAGACGAGGCAAAGTGAAAGGGTTTCTGTTCTGACAAGAGAAGTGGAAGGGAATGTGAGACCCGTTTCCCCAAGTTTGACGCGAGTGAGCGCGTGTTGTTTTCCAGCACCCGCAACGAGACAAAGTATACTGCTCTGTTTGTCAGAATTCGGACCTGACTTCCCAGATTCTTTTGTCTTGCATCATTGTACGAAATCCACGCGCTTCATCAGCTACTTAATGCTTTATATCTGATGTCCCATTGGCTACTGTTACTGACAAAACTTCTGTCTGTCTCCATTGGTTTGCTCCAACAAACCTAAGAGGAAAAACAATACACCAGTTTAATTATATTTCTTCATTCATAAAAGTTCTCCCCATTATCCAATATTTTTGGCTTCATGTTTCTACAAAGCTGGACCAAATATTCAGCAATAACGGCTGATTAATTAAATGAATACTTGAGTATAAACCTTAATTAAAGGGATATCAATTAAATACCCATGCAATTTGGTTAATAACAAAAATAATAATTAACATGCACGAACTAAACGATTTTAGTGACTAAGTAATTTGTTCTCATATCTTGATATCTCAAGTTTGAACACCGTAAATATTAGATGTGTGAACATTCATTATCAAATATTTAATAATTTTTTTTGAACATATACTAAACAATAATGATTAACCTATTGTAGTAGTAAGAGATTGAATCTTGATAAGGGCATTTGAGCCTCGCAATCCTCAAGCCATATACCGAAAGGGAAATGGCCAATTATTTTTTGAAGAGGGTGTTGGATGTTGACTTAGGGGTTGCATTTAGTATAAGGGTCATTGAAGCC